GTGGACCTCTGTGGGGGGAACCTCTGTGGGGTGGATCTCTGTGGGGGGAACCTCTGTGGGGTGGATCTCTGTGGGGTGGACCTCTGTGGGGTGGATCTCTGTGGGGTGGATCTCTGTGGGGGGAACCTCTGTGGCGTGGACCTCTGTGGGGTGGATCTCTGTGGGGGAACCTCTGTGGGGTGGATCTCTGTGGGGTGGATCTCTGTGGGGTGGATCTCTGTGGGGTGGACCTCTGTGGGGTGGATCTCTGTGGGGGGAACCTCTGTGGCGTGGACCTCTGTGGGGTGGATCTCTGTGGGGGAACCTCTGTGGGGTGGACCTCTGTGGGGTGGACCTCTGTGGGGTGGATCTCTGTGGGGGGAACCTCTGTGGGGTGGACCTCTGTGGGGTGGACCTCTGTGGGGTGGACCTCTGTGGGGTGGACCTCTGTGGGGGGAACCTCTGTGGGGTGGACCTCTGTGGGCTGGACCTCTGTGGGGTGGACCTCTGTGGGGTGGATCTCTGTGGGGTGGACCTCTGTGGGGTGGATCTCTGTGGGGTGAACCTCTGTGGGGGGATCCTCTGTGGGGTGGACCTCTGCGGGGTGGATCTCTGTGGGGTGAACCTCTGCGGGGTGGACCTCTGCAGGGTGGACCTCTCAGGTCACCAGTTCTTGCTGCAGTATCCAGTGCAGGTTTCCCCCAGGGTAGGCAATGCATTCCATGTCCAGCTCTTCCCCAGAAGCTAGCCACAGGCGGCCCCTGACAACAGACACCTGGCTGCCTGCTGGGGTGCCTGAACCCCTACAGCCCCAGGGTAGCCCTGCCTTCCTGGAGAGAGGACAGACCTAAGTCAGAGATGGCAGCCCTGGAGCAGCAATGTACACCCACTGCAGGACCCTCCTGACTACCTAGAGTGGCAGACCTCTTCTGTGGCCACCTGGGCCCAGGGGACAGAGCCTGGCTGTGGTCTCAGCCCAGTACTCAGCAGGAAGCCGCTGGGCCTGCGCTAGGAGCTCTGTGAGGAGTCCCTTCCCCTTCCTTCCAGGAATTAGCAAAGGATGTTTTTAAGGTATAGAAAGTAAGCATTTCAGCAAAGGGTCAACATTGAACCTCTATTTCTATACCACATTTAGACTTAAGGGAGAGTTGCACACAGAGTGGAGCTCCTAGCCTCTCTCCCAGATCCCTCAAGATGGCTCTTCCCAATCCCAGCAAGGCCAGCAAGGGGGCTTGGGAGTGTGGCACTGCCAGACTGCACCAAGCTGTGTTCCTCAGTGGCCGCCAGGCTAGGACAAATCCTAATTTTACTTACAGAGGGTCCCAAGGCTTGGGTTTGCTGCCTCCTCAGGACTGGAACCAGGGGCCAGTGTGTTCCCTCCTGGGTGTCTGTGCCCACTCCCAACCATGTAGGCCTGGGGAAACAGCCTAAAGGTCGGGAGCCGGGGCCCAGGGCTGGAAATGCCTACTGTGGCCCCTCCACAGAGATTGTGGAGCGCTTCCCCAAGAAAGTCACTCAGACACATCGTCAGGGGAAGAGGAGTTCCATGTCAGTAACTGACAGGCTGAGAGTAGCAGCGGGGCGGGGCTCCAAGCAGCCGTATAGGGCCAGGTTCATGTGGAACCTGAGAACAGCAAACAGCCTCGTGGAAGGGTTAGCCCTTGCAGTTGAAGCTGCACAAACAAGGAAGAGTGCAGTGGGAGGAGCTGCTATTGGAGATGCCGCTGCCCAAGTCACCCATTTTCAGTGAGACCTAACATGGCGGAGTGCTCCTAAGAGGAGGACGTCAGGCTAACAGACTGCCCTGTGCTAGCCTCACCTACCCTCCAGGGGAGAGGTGACACATGGACTGCCAGCCGCAGTGACCAGCTCAGAAGGACTGCTTTCTCCGCAGTGCGTGTCCCCCAGAGCCTGGCCCCACTCCTGTGGCAAAAGTCAGCAACAGTCTCTCTTGCTGTGATGGTCTGAATGGGGTCCTCTAACTAACAGGGATATGTGAATGTTGGGAAGCGCAGTGCTTCTCCATGGAGGCTGGAGGCTGATGCTTTCCACCACCCTCACCCCCACCCCATGACTGACAGGAGGGCCGCTGAGCTAGACACAAAGTCAGCTGGAAGGCCGGGTCAGGCACGCTGGGCCACCGTGACTGCCTGGTGGTGACAGAAAAACCAAACAGAGCCGCCCCTCCTCACAGAGAAGACAGGGCCCTTGGTCTGCCATGCATGTCTTCCACATGCTCAAAAGCAGACTGATGTAAGTGATCTTACTGCAAAATGTAAAACAATGGGCAGTATCACGGCTTTCTCAAAGCTTTAACCAGTCACAGACTGAGACCAGGCACATTCTGAAGGGCTCTCAGGTAGAAGAGGAAATCACATGTGAACATGTGGGCAGCAGCTTTGTAGAGCAGAGAGCTCCGCTCTGTTCTCTGGAGGAAAGAACTCACACCAAGACAGATCCATATCCATCTTAAGAATACAGAGTAGAAACAATAAACTACCTTATGAAAAGTAGACAGATGGATTTACAAAGATAAACCAAGAAATTAAGTACAAAAAACAAATGAAAAGGCGAAATGATTGTTTCTTCCTGAAGTAGCACAGTGGGTGCTCTGCTTGGTGGAGGAACAACCGTCTCTGTGCAGAACCTGTGTCGCTTGTGTGTGGGAGATGCGGGGGATGACACACACCACAGCTCTGGAATCTAGGTCAGTGTTGGACATAAACTGCCAGAGTAGCTCTGAATCAGGGGAAAGCGCGATGAAGTGAACACAGAGACTGGAAAGGCGATTAAAATGGCAGCCCAGGAAGGCCTGGGAGAGCATAGATGTGGTCTACCTGGAGTTGGTAGGTCAGTCCAGTGTCACCCCGGCCCTTCCAACCCATGAGATGATGGAGAGTCTGATTCATCTCATGAGACCACGATAACTTAATAGAAAAACCTGATGTAGGACCAGAGGGGAAAGTGGTATGAATCACTTTTAAATGAAGATGCAAAAACAAATCTAAGAGAATGCAAACAGAATCCAATAACATACCTGGAGTCAGGTGTCGTGACCCTGTAGGCCAGGCCTGGCCTGTGAGGAGGGCTCTGTGAGCTTTCCTTTTTTTTGGGGGGGGGGTCTGGTCGTGGGGCCTGAACTCTGGGCCTGGGCGCTGTCCCTCAGCTCTTCAGCTCAAGGCGAGCGCTCTACCACTTGAGCCACAGCGCCACT